GGCAATTGAATAGTTTTCTGACAAGAATTTGTACAAAGTAAATGGTTGAAATAAGATGAATGACATTATTCGTGGTTGAGTATTTAGGTTGCATTTTGATATAGATTGTTTGGTTGGCGTGATAAGACAACGACCTAAGTTGTATTATTTTGTCGGTTATCAGTATATATAAAGAAATCTTCGAAGTCGTTGATTTGTTGTTGTTATGTGTTTTGAGTTTGTATATATACTCCGTATGTTATTTAGAAAGATTGTTGAACTTTCTATAGTTATTGCATGATTTGTTATGATCAAAATTTGTTGAACACTCTGTTCTTCCTCCAATTTAACGAAATTTTAAAATCAATTCTATCTCTTACTTTTGTCAAAGGTTAATCGAGTTTGTTCTTGTATTGAATGAAACCACACGACTTATATAAACTAACCTTTCTCGGCAGATCTTCATTTTGCTCCTTTTATATAAATTTTCAGATTTCTAATTATGGAAATGGATTCGTCTTGTCTTTTTAATAACATTGGTGGTTGTGGTGGCACAGCCACACCTTGTTATTATTTATGAAAACCAACTATTAGCACCGACAACAATTCAACTTTACTCGGTTGTAAGTCTAAAATTGAAACTCTTTTATTGCAATACAGCATATTCGACCTGCTTCCATGTAATGTGGAAGAATTCCATGTGTGTGATAACCATGATAATCTGATACAATCTTCAATTTTCAAGAATTGCTGCTTATGCAAAAAATTTGGTCGTTCAAATTCCAGCAAAAGTGGCCTTCGAACCATATCAAAATTATGTTCTTTTGCAGCTTGGAAGAAAAATGTAGTTCGTCTTTCGTTTGGTCGAAAAATGTGCATACAGTGCCGCAACGATCTTGAAAAGTATATTACAAAAGAAATTAGTGAAGAATGTGATGAACTTTTTCAATGGTTGTATGATGTAAATTTCACACATACACTATCTATATCTAGTTCTGATTCTCACAATGTTTTGTCTCACTCTTTCAATAAGCTAGTCGTTGATGAAAAACAAGGCCGTTTGAAACAATTTCTTCAAGGTAACTTGAAAACGGTACGAATTATGTGCATCAAAATAATTTGTTTCTCCTCATTTACAGAAGTCAACTATGATGGTCCAGTACCTACAACAAAATCATTTGTAAAACTTCAATCGTCAAGCAAGAAACGTTTTTGTCGGCAGTCTACCAATGTTTTAAAACATGTTCTTGGTATAATGTCACCTAATGATGATGCTAATGTTATATGGCAAACGAATATAGAAAATTCAACACAAAGCTCTTTAACTAATGGAAACCTAGACAAGGATTTACGTTTAATATTGACTAGTCTTGCCGAAGCCTACAATGCTACATCCCATTGGACAGTTCGTCAACAAATTCTTTCGATCATGGCAAATGATGTTACTTTTTCAACAATTCTTATGTTTATTTCGAATTTAACTGAATATCGTTACTATAGAGCTCGTCAATATGCCAAATCTATAGGAAAAGGTGATGTTGTCGACGATAACAGAACTCCAACGATTCGATATGAAGATTATCAATTAGAGCATTTTATTGAATTCATTGTTTCTCCACATATTTGTACTGATTTACCTTTTGGACAAAAGGAACTTCATCTTTCAACCGGTGAGACTCTTCTTATTCCACTGACAATCCGCAATCTAGCACCACAACGTATCATTACTCAATATTATAATTACTGCAAAGAATATTATGGTAATGCATTTCGTCCATTAGGCCAAAGTTCGCTTTTTTCAATATTAAATGAATGTACAGCATCAACTCGTCGTTCCTTACAAGGATTAGATAGTTTTTCGGGCGAAGGATCAACAGCATTCGGTTTTTTAATGTCAATTGTTTACGGATTGTCAACATTAGGCACAGTATTAAACGCGTTTTAGGTTTTTCAACAGTTTCAGATTACTTCCTGTTCTATTTCTTATTTTTCTAATAATTCTGAAGTACATCAAATATTCTACATGCAGCTAGAATTGCTCATTGGTTCTTTAATGACTTGTCAAGATCGTTATGCTGTGTCTGTTGTAGATTTCAAGGCCAATAAGAGAGATAAAACGATATGATTGATCGTTAACTGAGTTTGAAGCGCAAACTATTCGTTCTAATTATTTTTGTACTTTTTTCCTTTCTTTTAGGCTTGACAGCAAACAGTGCAGCTGAATTAAAACGAGATCTTCAAGACAGTCGAAATTATTTGAAGTCCGATTACAAAGTTCATATTTCACGCAGCAGTCCAGTTCCAGATCGTTGCTCCGTCTATGCTCTAAGCGATACTGCTGATAAATGCTGGTATCAAGCTTGTGATCATAATCATGATCAACAATGTGATCGATGTGAATTGCTCAAAATTACTCTGGCTAAAATTCGAAAATATATCGAAGAATATCAATCGGATGTCGTAATACGTGATCGTTTACTTTATCGTGTACAACAACAAATTCGATGTATTGAAGACTGGAAAGCCCATCTATTATGAACAATTCATCAAGATCAATATCGTATAGCCATTTTAAACAATCTCAACGATGAAACAATCATGATTCACGTTGATTGGGCCATGAAATGGCTTCCAGTTAAGTATAGAGAATCAACAGTAAGTTTCCATATGCAGCGATGTACCGAGGTCGAACCTCTCGGCGTTCGTTTGCATGGTCCCGGTTAGTCTCGGGTGGATGACTGGTTATGTGCCGTTGATTGACTATGGACATTTGGATCAGTCAGCGCGAGTGTTTATATGGGTGAATGGCTATCTTGAAAGAATGAGTATAGGCGGCTGGGGGCTGGTCAATGGGAAATGTGCTGGCTAGTTACTGGTCAAGTGTCGAGGTGTTGACTAGATGCTAGCCAGATGTTGGTTAAGTGACCGGGTGTTGGCTAGATGTTGGCTAGGTGCCAAGGTGCTGGCTGGGCGCTGCGATGTTGACTAGATGCTTGGTGTTTGTACTTTCCCATGCCTCGCACTCTCACCGACATCACATCCACTCGCCCACCGGAGATTGCCCGAGTCAGAGACTTACCAAGACCGAGACCATCAGTCTCAGCTTGATCTCGATACATCTCTATCCATATATATGTGCGATATCCAATACAATGCTAATATATTTTAGAAGGATCACTTCGCCAAAAGAGGTTTATCATGGCACATTGATTATGTAATTCGCAAAACATCTTCAACATCATCAAATTCACCTAATACATCATTCAATTCGACAGAAGTTGCCAACCAACATAGTTCAAATGATGATATATTTCAGCATAAAATATTTTGCCATGTATTTGATCAATGCGTACAAAATGCTAAAACAGTTATGTCGATTATCCAACATATATTTCTATGTCTTCGACAAACAGCACCCAATATCAAATATGCACATCTAAGGTCCGATAATGCCGGATGTTACCATGGTTGTGAGGCGTTATTGAGCGTTGAGCAATTATTCAAAGATGCAGGAATATGGATAAAACCCATTGATTTTTCAAATCCACAGAGTGGAAAGAGGCCATGCGACAGGATAGCAGCTGTAATTAAATGTTCAATTCGTCGCTTTATCGATGAAAAACACAACTGTACAAACGCGATTGAATTTTTGAAAGCTTCGGGTAAATTTTTTACTAGTTCTCTTCGATTTAGCAACTTACTTTACATTGCCTGTTTTTTTAGAAACAACGAAAGGAGTAGAATTCTATGCAAGTGAAGTTCAAAATATACATAATGAAAAAATCGAATGGAAAGGCGTGAAACAAATCAATAACATTGAATACATACAACATCAAACAACATCATCTACAAAAACATCAACTGAAGTTCGTGTTTGGCAATACTGAAAAGTTGCTGCCGGAAAATTATATCGATTATGTGATTTGCAAAAGAACAATGTAAAAATCAATCATTTGAACGAATTTTTTTCAACAAATGTTTCAGTACCATGGGTTAATGATTATTACGAAAAAGCTGGTAGAGACATTATTTTTATCTTTAAAAATTTTTATTTATTTCATAGATAAAGACCGTCCAAATGATATATATTCGGGTGATAGCAGTAGTAGCGAAGAATTAAGTGAAGACGAGTCAAATGTGAAGAATACATCGGAAGATCATTATTATTCATTTGATTGTCAAGTTAATGGTTGTGTTGCACGTTACCGTCACTATGCTAACCTTCTTCGGCATTATGGGACTGGAAAACATAAGATGAAACTTGAAAAGCATTCTCTGATTGACAAAAGTAAAATTCTTTTTCATCAAAGTTTAACAACAAATCATCTTCGTTCAACTCCCTTGTTATCAATTACTGTTGTTTCACCTGTCAACAGCTCGATAATTCCACCACTTACTCAACACTGGGCTTCTCAGAAAAACAAGCCGAACGTACGTTTTAACGACAAACAAAAACAATTTCTTCAACAAAAATTCTACGAAGGTGTTGAAACTGGAAGTGAGTAACATAACCACATTAGCTTATAGATGGTTGATTTTCCTACAGTGAAATGGGACCCAGCACGATTTGCTGAAGATATGGAAATGTTGACCAGTAATAGCAGTTACGTATTTAACAACAATGAATGTTTAACACAAGCACAAATAGAAAGTTATTTTTCCCGTTTGGCCGTAAAACAACGAACAATGCAGCAAGTACCTGATCAACAAACAATATCAAATTCAATATCATCTTCATCAACATCTCTTAGTACAATTAATACTAGTGATGTCAAATCCATGGATACAATCAGTATGGATGAATTAAATCACAGCGAAGAAACAGATGATCGTGATTTGGAAGTATACTCATGGCGTCAAATGCTTGATGAAGCACGAAATATTCTTGAAAATTCATCAATTTCTTCTGCTACATGAACTTCTTCGGCAATATCTGATTCTGCATCAAGTACACCTTCGACAAAAAGAAAATCAAAAACTGATCCGTCACAAAGCAACAAATACAAAATCAAATAATATTTTACTAATAAACTATTTGATTTCCACTTTCTTTTTTTTTGTTATACATCATTTATCATACTAGATCAGTTTTCATTTTAGACTATTTTTCATTTCAGGGTAGTCATTGCTTATGTTTCAATCAAGTAAGTTTATTAAAACTGCGATATCGATTTATATACATGTCATTAACTTCACTGGCAAGCTTCGTAGTGCACCGCTGATACTACATATCAAGTTTGTAACATCAAAAACTGTTCCATAAAAACAGAAAGTTTTAAAAAACTGACGCCATTATGCGATGCGTGGTTGATGTTGCTATAGCTGAGTCGATACGATTAAATTACAATACAATTTTGTATGTCCTATACGATCTGACTCAATTGTCCCCATATTCCATGATGTTTCATCGTATAATAACAGAGTATAATAGTTCTTGACTTCAAGGGATAGTTTTGTGGACTTTATTTAAGCTATAGACAAAGTAATTTGAGTCAATGCACAATGATTAAAATATCATATTCTATGCCTGATTGAAATATATAGACAAAATTTGGCAACATACTTTGAAAAATGTTTTTCGTGAAGGATTATAAGTAAATATGATATCAGTTCTTGATGTTTGAGTCTTAGTGACTCAGTTATAGAATATCTCAAAACAATATGAAATACATTATTCCATGCAGAATTGAACGGGCTATAAGATGATGCTATTTCTGTTTTAGCATTCATCTTTTGATACAGATATTTCATCAGAATACTGGGAGAAAAAAAATTATATCTTGTCAAAAAATACAATATTTTGACTTTTTGTTCTCAACATTGAGATTGAGGAAAAATGTCATATACATCACTTTGTAGGGCAAGTAAAACTCTATCGATTGGTATATGATTCAATTTGAATAGTAGAAAAATTTTAAGAAAAAAAATTCACATATGAATCCGATATGACATCTGATTTCGTGAAACAAGACAAAATATGAGTATGCTTATCTAAAGTGCTGAACGTCGTTTAGCAACGTCCCATATATGATTCGATGCAGAATTAAATGGGCTACAAAATGGTGTATAACTTGTTTTGGCAATCGATTTCTGACCTAGGTATTTGACCAAAATACTGAAAAAATCATGAAATCGTATATGAAAAAAAAACAATGTTTTTTGAGTTTTTGTCTTCAATATACGTAGGATATCTTGGGCCTGGATTCGAGTATTCTGCAACTGGATTCGCTCACAGTTGGGACCAAAAATCAAACTCTTCGGACCAAGATAGAACTCAACGAGCTCTATCGAATACACCATATACTTTTTCTCCAAAACCATTCCAAGCGGGAGAAAAACTTAAAATACTGCAAAAAAATAAGCAAAAAATCAGGTTTTTTCGTAAAGTGCACCGGGATTCGCTCCTAGTTGGGACCAAAAGCTGAAAATGACATAGATCGATAGAACTCGACGAGCGCTATCCAATGGATATCTTTTCAAGCAATTTTTATGCTTTCATCCACCCGTAAATCCCAATTTTCGCAGAAAACCTGGTTTTACCGCGAATACCCCACTTGGATTTTCCCCCCCCCCCTTGGGACCAAAAGCTCAAAATAAAATAGATCGATAGAATTTGAGGAGCTCTATCCAATGGATATCTTTTCAAGCAATTTTTGTGCTTTCATCCGCCCCTAAAATCCCAATTTTCACAGGAAACCTGATTTTTGCTCCGAATACTGCACCGGGATTCGCTCCCAGTTGGGACCAAAAGCTCAAAATGACATAGATAGATACAGCTTGACGAGCTCTATCCAATGGATACCTTTCGAAGTACTTTCTATGCTTGCATCTCCTCTTAAAATCCCAATATTCCCAGAAAACCTGGTTTTGTGCTATCAAATTTTTACTTGATCATAATAATTTAATGAAATTTTTCTTTCAAACATTAAATTAATATAATAAAGAGCATTTGTTTTCAATTTTAATATAAAATAAAATTTGGCATATTATATACAACTTTGTTTTCTTTTATCTCAAAAAAAACAAATTAAAAATAATTTCATTGTTTGAAGCACTGAATTAAAATGAATAAAAAAAAGCAATTTATATTCTTTCTAAAAAATGTTATAAAATTTTAAAAGATAAACGTGAAAAAAAATAGTAAATCCAATGAGTTTTCAACATAATTAACAAAGCAAATTAATAAGGTCAAGCACTTAATGGAGAAATTGCGAAAAGTTTGTCGAAAAAAAAATTTTTTGATGTGCCATGTACGATACATATATGTACGTCGCTCCATCTTTCGTTTCCTTCATCCTATTAATCGCAAGAAACAAACCAATGAAGTATTTTTCCTTTCCTGTCGATAAAGATATCGATGAATAATACGAAGAAGAGGATAGCGAAAACGGAAAATTTTTTTTTTTCTTCTTTCTTGTTTCTCTTCGCACCAATAAGACCTTATTCACCAATAATTATTTTTATCTTCCTCTACACATACCCGTCCTTCATGAGAATAAGAACGAAATATAAATAGAAAGATGTGGTCATCTTCCTATCATGACGAATACTTGAAATTCAAAGCAATGCACACAATAAAAAAAAACCTAAATCAACATATGAAACATATGGAAAGGTGAATTAAAAAATATTTAACACTTTTATTTGAAGAAAAATAAAATTTGTTGATGTTTTCTTTAGCATCGCCGTTCCAAAGACTTAATGAAAAAGCAGCATTATTTGAATAATTCTAGAACTGAGATCTGGATTTGCCCTTTCGGAGAGGATCCAAGCATCAGATCGAGCTGAAAGGGTGTCTGTTCGATAGCGTTCGTCGAGTTCTATCTATCTATGTCATTTTCAGCGTTTGGTCTCAACTGGGGGCGAATCCCGGTGTTGTATTCGAGGCAAAAGCTAGGTTTTCGGCGAAGATTTGGATTTTAAGGGCGGATAGAAGTATAGAAAATACTGGAAAAGGTATCCATTGGATAGAGCTCGTCGAGTTCTATCGATCTATGTCATTTTGAGCTTTTGGTTCCAACTGGGAGCGAATCCCGGCGCGGTACTCGGGGCAAAAACCAGGTTTTCTGTGAAAATTGGGATTTTAGGGGCGGATGAAAGCACAAAGATTGCTTGAAAAGATATCCATTGGATAGAGCTCCTCGAATTCTATCGATCTATGTTATTTTGAGCTTTTGGTCCCAAGGGGGGGGCCGAATCCAGGTGGGGTATTCGGGGTAAAAACCAGGTTTTCTGCGAAAATTGGAATTTTAGGGACGGATGAAAGCACAGAAATAACTTGAAAAGATATCTATTGGATAGAGCTCGTCGAGCTCTATCGATCTATGTTATTTTAAGCTTTTGGTCCCAACGGGTAGCGAATCCAGTTGCAGAATACTCGAATCCAGGCCCAAGATATCCTACGTTTCAATATCAAGGTTGAGGAGAAATGTCATCTATACCATTTTGTAGAGCAAGCCTAGCTCTATCGATTGGTATATGACTCAATTTGAACCGTGGAAAAATTTGGAGGAAAGAATTTAGCAAAACTAAAAGTTGAATTTTTTGCATTTTTGGATGGTATTTTTTAGGATATGTCAGGTTCATCGGTCCTAGCCAACTATAGGTAGATCTTTAGGCCGTAATATTTTGGATTGATATATGGTACACTAAGGCCTATATTCCTATGAGGTCAGATTCAAAATCGGTTGACCCCCATGTTTTTGAAATTTTGATATTTTCATGGAACGTCTCTTAAATAGCGATGGAAAACTTAAATAGCTATGCAAGTACTTAAATAGCTATGCAAGTACTTAAAAAGCTATGAAAAACTCAAATAGCTAAGCAAGCACTTATAAACAGCTATGAAAAACTTAAATAGCTATGTAAGTATTTAGATAGATAAATGCTTATCTAAAAAGTATCTCTTTTGAGAAGCTACGCACACTCACACCCTTGAAATATAATTGCATTTAAAATCAGCATATGCATACATGAATATAGTGTTTTACCGAAAAAAGTTTGCTCGTGCAACAAATTGGTGAAAGCACAAAGTTCAGTTTTATAGTCAGCATCAAAATTTATTATAGTAGTTACGCAAAAAAATAGCAATGAAAACAATAGCACAATGTTCGGTGATCGCGCTAGACGCAACATTGGATTTTACATTTTTTTATTGGATGATTTCTTAAAGGGTTTCAAAGATGCCGTTTGTGTTTGATTCGAACTGTTTTGATAGTACTTACTACTAGCTGTCGCATTAATCGATGGTACTGATGGAGTAACAACAGCAAGTGTCAATTTTTTCGGAGATTCTGTGCTTGATTTAATTGCATCTTTTACTTTCTCTATCTCGCTTTGAATTTCTTTTATATCCTTATGGTCAGGATCATAGTTAGATTCGTAAATTTGCAAAGCTTTATTGAAGTTTTCTAAAGCTTTTGGATAATCTTTCATTTCCGTATAACTGCATCCAATCCAACCTAATGTTTGCGCTATTTTTGGATTATCAGATGAAAGAAACTTTTGTTCATAATTAAGTGCTTTCATAAAGCAATTCAAACCATTTTCATAACGTCCGTTATCCAAACTAATACAACCAATCATTGACACACAGTAAATAAACTCCGACAGATTTTTCAATGAAATTGACTTTTCTAATATGTCCAAAGCCTGATTATAATAATTAATACTTGTTGATACGTCTTTTTTCAGCCAGAAGCTACCTATCACCATTATAATTTTGGCATGTTGTGGATGATTTTCACCTAACTTATTTTTCTGAATGACAAGTTGTTGATTGACGAAATTCAAGCCACGTTCATAATCGCCTTTTTTCTCGTAAACATTAGCGATATCTTCAAGATGATCAGTTATGTTGTTATGATCAGCTGGTAACACATTCATCTCGATCTCATATGCACGATTGTAATATGTTAGTGCATTGTCAAATTCTAGCTTGGCATAGTATAATCCACCAATGTTCCAGAGACTCCGTGCTACGTCTGGATGAAGTTTAGGTAACAAATTCGTTCGCATTCTGTGCACTTTTAAGAAATGGTTTAATGCGACATCATACGCGTTTTTCGCTTTGTGTATATAGCCAATGTTCTCAATTGTTATTGCTTTGTTTAAATGGTCACCCGGATAATTCTTCTCATCGATAGCTAAACTCTGATTGTAATACTCAAGAGCTCTATTATAGTCACATTTTGTTTTATAAACTAACCCTATATTGTGCAGAGAAGAAGCGATACGAGGATGCTCAGGAGAATAGCGCTGTAAACGTATATGATAAGCTTTGTTATAATTTTCCAATTGAAGATTCAATTCTCCTTTTCGTCCCATCACATGACCGAGATTGTTGTAAACACTATCAATCTCTTCATGTTCTTTCGGAAGTGTTTTCAGTAGCATCTTAAAATAATTTTCAGCTTTTTCAATTTGCTCCAGTGAATAAAGGAGAAGACGTCCGAATGCAATAATTGGACTGATTTCTTCCATTTCTTTTTGTTGTAACTTTATGTAATCTTCAACGTCATTTAACCCTTCGTTTGTTGCCGCCATTTTTACTTTCCATAGATTTAATATTTCATCATAGTTAATTGTTTCGAGTTTGAAAACAGCTCCAAGACTAAATAGAACTTCCTTCTCGTCTTTAGTTCGACTGTATTTTTCAATATTAGAGAACACAGTTCTTGTCAAACTTGAATCAACTCTGATCTCAAACATAACTGTTTTCAACTGATCTGTATCTCGTAATTGTTTAGCAAAACGGAGTGCAACTTCTGGATCACGTGTTGTTGAAAAAAAGCCATTTGTTGAAATTAATGCACCAATATTTGCCTTAATTTTCTCAAGTTCTTCCAGTGGTATTTTCTGTCCACGATATAATGTTAGAATATCCGTTGAATTCGCTTTACTTTCTTGTTCTAATTGAGCACATAAATCGATAATAAAAAAGCGAAACAAATATAACAAATCGATATCTTCTGTGCGAAGGGCTTTATTCAATAGTTTATAGAGAAAACCTTCGTCAGTATACCATTCAATTGCCTTATCCGATGTGTATGTCATTCGAAATTTTTGAATTTTTTCAAGTTCATTTTTATCATCTTGTGTTCGATAATAATCCCGGCAGTAGTCTAACATCTCGTATTTAGCCTGATTAGTTTTTGGCATTTGTCTAATCACGTACAATAATAGCTGATGCCATAAAAATGAAGCTGATTCTTTTGACAAATCTCGTGTTGATTTTTGCTTTTGATCGAATAAACTAAATGGCAAACTCTGCTTTGATACAGTGTACGCAGCTTCTCGAATCGATTGTAATAACGAATTCTGTTCAACAAATATTTCAATAATTTTTGAATACTCATTCATTAATAATAAATGACGACTTCGATTTCCACAGAATATAAAAATCGAATAGACTTGCGATAATGAATGAACTTCAGGCAAGATTTGTCGAGATAACGAACCAGACACAATTAAAAATATTTTTTCATCAGTTACCATTTTGATAAAATCAATACAGATACGAGATTGCGTATAAAATTGGACATAATTATTTAATTCATGAAGCAGAGTTTGCGTTTTCAATGAGTCAGGCGTATCGTTAATGTTTTGATCACACCATATTAAAGTTATTTCTTCTTTATTTTCCACTATTTGTCTTGCACCAAGATTACGCGGACGTATTTGATTCGTCATAATATAATTCTACAATGAGCAGAAAAGAGAATAGCGCATACGGGACAAACACTTTCTTCGTTGCTTTGAGTTTGGCAAATTTCGATAGTAGTTTTGGGTTCTTCGTGCATTTGAAAAATCGGGTGTGTGAGTATGAGTATAGGTGAGGGTGGGTGTGGATGTTGGCGGGTGCGTGGGTACAGGTATTGATGTTGCTATAAGAAATTTTAAATTCCATACTAAGAGCGACACTCATAGCTAGGGGTGGCACTTTCACTTTCTTTTTACTTTCAAAAAGGAAAGGAAAGGAAAGTTTTTACTTTCCTTTCTTTTAGGAAAGGAAAGCGTTTACTTTCCTTTTCTAAAAGAAAGGAAAGTTGAAGGAAAGTTAACTTTCCTTTCCTAAAAGAAAGGAAAGGAAAGTGAAACCTTTAGGTCTTCAAGTCCTATATAATAAGGATACCCTTAGGACCTCAAGCCCTATATAATGAGGGTACCCCTAGATCCTCAAGTCCTATTTAATGGGGGTACCCCTAGGTCCTCAGGTCCTATAT